ATACATCAATACATACATATATACATCAATACATACATATATACATCAATACATACAGGATGTTACTGCTGGCATGTACATTTCTATGTACCCATGTTCTTTTCTTTGTTTTTCCTTACTGTCTAACTTACCAGTTTAAAAAGTAACTAAAGTCTGTTTACGAGCCTAGTGGCCCATTAGGCTGATGCTTAACTCCGGTTTCTGTAGCATGAAGCGACTAGGAGTATTTCTACTCCTCCCTGGATGGGATGCTAGTCCATCGCAGGGTTACCCCCAGCATTAAATTGCCAGTACCCATTTATACACCTGGGTGAAGAGAGGCACTCTGAGAGTTAAGTGTCTTGCCTAAGAACACAACACAATGTCCTGGCCGGGGCTCGAACCTGGACCACTCAATCCAGAGTCGAGCGCACGAACCATGAGGCCACCGCGCCTCCACACAGTTTAGACAGATTTCAAATTTGCAAGCAGTTTGTTGAGAAGGACTAACCATTGAATATCTCTTTCATAACATCACTGTAATTCAGCTTGTCTGTTTTCCTTTGGGTTTCCTAAATCATGATTTATCAATGTAGATGTACCTCTTTGTATTTGTAGTACCTCTATATATACGTATGTTGTAAGTATTTTGGTATCCTAAGGAGTTAGTTCCTAATTCCCTTGTTGTTTATTTCCTGTTTAGAATTTGAACAAATGGCTGCTAATGAAAAGAAATGTGAAAGGCATATTTCTCCCGGTGAAGTGCAGTTTTTATGGCAACTTATTGGTGATCACGGCAACAACTACAAAGTGAGTACCTCTCAGTAACACCATAGTATTTTCTCGAGAAACATAAGTAACTTTCAATATGATAGGCAGCATTTTCTGTACAGTACCTCGGCAACATCTACAGGGTAAGCATCTGACATCGCTGTATTTTCTTGATAAACGAATAAGTAACTTTCAATATTATAGGCTGCTGTGCACTCTGATTTCCTTTTGTTTGACATTTTACAGACTTTTTGTTTAGCAATATTATGAAATCTGTCACACTCTCTGATGCAATCGTTTACTGCAATCATTTACAATTTGTTGACATAATTTATATTGACTACAACATTTAATGGATGACTTAATTCGTAACTAATATTCCCTGCCATTTTTTTGGCGATGTCCTAAATTTTACTGAATTGGAAAGGATGATCCTAACATATTCAGTTGTGACTAAGTCAACTGGTAGTGAGTTTCGTGTGAACATGTTGCATATTTAGCTGTTGCCCTGATAATAGAGTAAAAAGTACCTCAGAAATGTGTCTTGATTCACCTTCAACCCAAGATAGTGAAGAGGGACTAGTTGTCTTTTTTTGTGTGTGCAGGGTATGGCGAGGGACAAAAGGAACTGTTATCAACATACACCAAACCAGCTGAAAAGAAAATGTGAAGCTCTATTAAGATCAAAACAGAATTTCAGTGGATATCTTGAAAAAATTAGTTAAAAATGTATACCGGAAATTACGATGGCTCAACAAGAACTGTTCAAAGAATGTCTGAGAGTCGTCTATTTTATGTCAACCGCAAAGTTTTCGAGCAGATTATCGTTACCTGTTAAGGACTTGGTATAATTCAACTTAAGTATGGTGACAAAGAATGCTTCACTAGTTTCGCAGTTGAAGAGAGGAATTCAGGTCTTTTCGTCCAGAAGTTTTCGTTGCCTTCCCGTTTCTTTCGCGTGAAATAATTAAACGGCAAGCAAGTCTTTATTTTTGCCACTACAGTCGACTCCCGATAAACCTTCAAGGGAAATTGAAGAAAGTTCGAGTTATCGGGATTTGATAAAAAATGACTAGAAATAAGAGGAAAAAAGGTGTTTTAAAAATGTTTTTCTTTATATGCAGTGTACATTTTAATCAAATTTGATTACAGTATAGAGAAGCCGAGTGAAAAAAAAGACAATACATCTCTAAATTACTGTATAAATCGGAACGTAACGTAATGTGAAAAATGTAACAAAGGAATGCAGCGGGGAGAGGTCCAGTAACTGCGAACCGTACAGGTTTTTTTTTTTATGAGAACAATGTCGGGCTACTGGTAAAAATAACCTCATGCGATTTAAAAAGGAGTTAGGAAGCAACACTTTGTGAAAACCAGCCGAACTTGAACTGAACTGACACGTTTTGTGTAATGTAAAAGAAAGGAAACAGTTCACACGGCTGCTTCAAAATAAATTTAAGGTTTTGGACAACAGTGTTTTGACTTGTCACGTATTGACAGACATGGTTCGAGTTATCGAGGGTAAAATTATATAGAAAATAACCTGAAGGGAAACGAAAATTGGTTCGAGTTACCGAGAGTTTCGAGTTATCGAGGGTTCGAGTTACCGAGGGTAAAATTACAGTGAATGTAGGACGGAAATCCATGGGAAATCGATTTTGGTTCGAGTTAGATGTTAAGTTACATGTAACTTCCTATGATTATCTGGGTGTTAGATTAACGAGCAAGCTAAATTGGAAAGAACACTGTGATGAAACTTCCAACAAAGCCAATAGGGCTCTCGGGCTGGTCAAACGGACCTTACAACCATGTACGCCTGAAATCAAGGAAAGAGCCTACAAAGCAATTATTCGACCTTTACTAGAACATGCAAGTGCTGCCTGGAATCCACACACAAACAGGGACACTGAAACTATCGAAAAAGTCCAGCGACGGGCTGCTCGTTTCGTCGTGCATAATTACAAGAGATCTACAAACTCACAAGATCTTGTAAATCAACTTGGTTGGGGGCTCCTTGGAATACAGACGTTTGCTGGCCCAAGTGACTCTTTTTTTATAAAATCAAAAACATTCTCATAGATCTTGAATTCCCATCTTCTATCCAACCAGCTCCTAGACCAAGGATCCAACATGCCATGCTCCAGCCCCACTCAAGTGTTTTGGCGCACAGTTATTCTCCATTTATACGAACTGTTCGGGTATGGAATAAACTGTCAACTCAAACAGTCCAAGTTGAGAACATTACTTCTTTTAAATCATTAGCCATAAGGGACATTCAGAACATGAAGACCCCGAACCACCTGAAAAGATTTTGAACTATTTACATTTATTGTTTCTTTTAAACTTTATATATTTATTGTAGATTATTAGCACTATTAATTAGTTATTCTATATCTCCCAGCGTTAGCCCAGCTATTTGGGAGTATAAGTTCCAAGCTAGCGCGAGGTTCGAGTCAGCGAGGGTTCGAGTTATCGGGAGTCGACTGTATTTAATAAAATATATTGCGTTACAACTTCATTCATTCTCTGACAATGACAATAATACTTTATTCAATCAAATCACAAAAATAAATAATTGAAAGAAAGGGAGACACCAGAAGTTATCCCTATCGAGGGTGTTTCTAAAATAATCATCTAGTTAAACATCTATTTGAATATACAAAATATAAGAACATTAAGTTGCGATTTAACTATATAAACCTCTGTGTATTTATCGTTAAATTCATGACGTTGAATTCGTAAACGAAGATTGGTTAACCAAAGGCGCAACGGCTCGCACTGATAAGTTCTTTATATAGCCTATGATAATATAATAGTTATTTGTTTCGCGGAAAGACTTGGCAATTAGACGTACAGACTTAGATGAAAATACTTTTGGACGGAAAGACTCTTGGACGAAAAGACCGGACACCGAAGAGAGTACCGTTACAAAGAAAATTAGAATTATTTCGCGTTTCACGAGCAATACTTACGACGGACGAAAACCACTTGTTACGCAGTCTACGAAAAACGATCTCCCATCATTTTGTTCTAAAATATCTTGCAGTTAAGATAGTGAAAACTTTGGGCTGGCAATGTAAACGAAGTCGAACGCACGACTCGACCTCAAGATTTCTTTCAAAAGGATGTGTGGGGTAAAGGCCGCAGTAATTTCCATTGCAAACCATAAGCCTCCTTGACATCGTTTGCAATTAAAGGCAGTCTATGACTGCATGTGCCCACTGTTGTATGGTTTTAGAGTATTGCAGTTAAAAAAAGCCATGTGGTATAAAATGCAAAGGGGTTAACGAACAGCTCTTGTCGATGCCAAACTTGTGACAAAAGGAGGACTTGGTTAGAGCAGAGTTTGTACAATGGTCAATTGACAGGGCAAGAACAAGGCAGGAAATCAATAGAATGAGTATATGTATTACATATGTATCAAATTTATTCGAATTCCGAAACTTCGGTACATCGTACGCTCTGCTTACCTAGCGCTATGGGTATACCTGCGAGGTTTGGGGCTGGCCGCGCCAACTTTTGTTTGCCTTTTTTTTTTTTTTTTTTCCTTGCTTTCCCTTTTTCAAGGATGATAGATATGGTCAGGGGTAAAAAGTAAATGCAGAAGGAAGAAAAGCAGGTGTACACACAAAAAAATCGCGCCTCCCCCTCCCCCCTTAGCTCCAGGTCTGAATCCGGCACTAGATACGATCCCACGAGTGCGGCTTACGATAGTCCGCCATTTTGGAAACCGCGGGGACTTGAGGAAAGGTTATGGACTTACGCAATACATTACACGTCCTACACGACACCATAACATAGTTCTTACCACCTTTTTAGAAGAAGGACACAGTAGGCACAAAAATTAACGTTAGCTTAAATCGAGGATGGTTTAGATTTTGCTTTCGTGTCCAAAAACGGTTAACCTTGTTTAAATACCACCCCTTTATTCTATCACTATTTGAAATTCGTCACGTGTAGAGGGTATTAGTACAGTTAAGAACAAATAAAAATAATTGGAAAAAGTTGTACATTAAAGCATGACTGGTTCGACCATAGTTATTTAATTTATGGAAAGTTAATCGCTGTCTGAACGAATTCTTAAGCTAAACAATCTACTGGGTCGTTGAGCACAATCATTTGTGTCCACGAGCGGTAGGTTGTGCTAATTCAACTACCCTTGAAGACGCGGCAGCTTTCTTCGCAGTTTCACTAACGGTGAATGCATCTGGGTTAAACTGAAGGTGATCCATTGTCTCCCGTATAATTGGCTTGGACAAATTTTGGATCCTATCAGAGGCTATTGCCCTGAGAGTGTTTCTAGTAATATGCCATTCAGTCTCTCTACATGGCAAATATCCCTCAACCGTTTGCTTGGCCTTGGAAAGCTCCTGAACACGGGCTGAGGCTACAGTGCGCATGCTGGCTGAGGATACGCGCCATGTTGGCTCCCTTATGAGCCTGTCTTGGCGCGTTTTAGGACGCGCTAGTTGTTCGGTTCGAGCGGAAGTCACGGCTCGTTTTGCTGGTTCACTTACACTCCAGGGTATTTCCCTTCCTGGCCGGTAGTCAGGATGGCATCTCTTGGAATGTGCTAGTCTCAGTGAAAGTTCCCGTTCTCCTGCCGTCTTCGCTGCCTGGCTTACTTGCCAAATTGGTGAACTTCTACCGCAACTGAAGATGTATGCCTCCCTAGAAGGAAGAAGGGCCACTTTAAAGTCGGGCATGGAGGTATTCTGCCACTCAAATGTGTAATAGTTGGAACGTCAAAACATCAAAATACAAATGAAGCACTTCTCTACGTTTTTACGTTTCAGAAAAGCGGCCTGAGGGCCTTGCAAACTCTGTTTGACTATTTTTGCCGGCTGACAGTGTATCCATTCAGCGCGTGGCCAAAACGATCTTATTACATAGTAAACTGTGAATAACACATGGAAGTACCTTTGGCAGAGAAAGGAGATCTAGAGAGGAACTTATTACTTCGAAAAGTTCCATTCATTTTTATCGTGACCTGGTGACTGCCAAAATTAGTGACACTTGAGCCGATGGAATAGTTTTAATTCACAAACTATTGTTTAGTGTCCCAAATACACAATGAAAGATCGATTCCCATATTCCCATAGTTGGTGCTAGAACATTTCTCTTTCCAAAGTTGTTTTCTCAATAATGTGTCTCGGCTATCGATGTAATAAACTGATCCACTACCTGAGGTGATATCAGTTTTCCAGCAATCAAATCGCTTGTTTCATTACTTCGCAGTCCATAATATGTTCGTAGCTCGTGGTGTACAGCGGTAAACTTAATTTTCTGCATTGATCTGTGTTTGGCGAATTTTCTCATACTAGCTCAGTTTGATTGGTTTTTGGAGAAACTATCCTTGGTCAAGAATGCTGATAACGAAACCTTTTTCTTGAAGTATTCAAGATTGTTGGTCTGTCGGGTTAAGTCTGTGAGCTCTCCTCTAAATAGAGCCGTATCGATTCTCTAACTAACTTGCTCCTAATTGAGTTATGGCTTACACCTGACATGGCAAAAAGAAAGGGAGATCTTAATGCCTAAGCAACAGCTGAAATATTTCACTATCCTACTTGAAAAGCTTCGCCATGAACATTATTGAATCGCATGCCTACAGTAAGAATAAACCTAGAGTTTGCGGGCTTTTGAATTTGCTAAAAGCATTCGTGCGTTTAGACTATTGCTAAGCAAAGACCTTTACCTTCAAAGATAGTTTGAAATCATTCAGAAAATATTCCTCTAAACCTTGTTGCTGCTTTTTTCGTTGGTAGAGGTAAAGCTGGCGAGTGCAGTCTAGTCTATCAACCGTGAGTCGGGCCCAAGCAACCACGCTATGCACTGCCTAGCAACTTGACAATCAGTGAATTTTGAATAACTAGTCACGATGCAAATGATTAAACAAACTTTCAAACTCGAAGCAAAAGCGATGTGCAAATTTCTTCTTTAATTGTTGACAAACAAGATACTGCGCTTGAGGCAACCTGCACTGAGGCTTAGAATTTTAGAGTGAATTTCCTAGTCTTCACGAGCTTGTTGCATTAGAAATTTGTGCGGGCTCCTCTAAGGATATTTGAGTAGTCATGTAATTATCACCTCATTTAAGATGGCTTAACGAGTTCTTGCTGCTTTGAAGCCAACCAAAGAAGTACATTTACGTTGTTGAGTTCGTCCCGACCTTAACAACTCGCTGAATTCCAAACATGTTCCTCAACTGCAGAACTTAAGTCGGACAAATCTGGGCAAATCAGTTTACTACTAATCAAATTTGATAACAAGAGAAAATAAAAAAAATCGTGACCTGAAAAAAAATGTTGAGCAAAATATGTCACAAGTTTAGGGCAAGTTTGCCCGATTGCAGAACGTGTTCCCACAGTACCTTTGTTCTTCTTGTTGAGGTGGTAATTTCTTCGGTTCTGCCAGCTGACTGACCCTTGTGGAAATATTTGCTTTTAAAGCGGAAGGTTGCACATCCCAAATGACAGAATTACGGCCACAGCTATATATGTATTGTCCCCTAGAATTTCAAGCAAAAGGAAGTGAGGGACTAAAGTTGACATTATGTAAACTCACATACACTATCTGGTAACTAACAAAACTAATGAAGATGTTAGCATCACTTCAAATGGTTTAAACCACAACAATAAACATACAACTCCAAGCAGAGGCGTAGACGTAGTAAAGTGAAAGTTTTCAAATTCGTTTATAAGTTATGAAGTTACCGGCTAAAATGATACTGACCCAAAAGGGCCAATGAATCTTCGTATTGAATTGATTTTTTTGGGCTTTGCGTTTGTAGATTCCCTTGAGAAACAATCGCATTCGCATTTAGAATATACATTTAGAATATGCGTTTAGAATATACTTTTGCTAAGGAAAAAGAAGTAATGAAATATAGCAGCAAATAACTATAGAAGAATTTATTAGTTCGTCATGGACATAGTTATAATTGTCATAGGCAGAGGAGACGTGTATTTAACAGAAAGACTCCGAGAGCTGCAAGTAATATGCGAAACTTAATTAAATGTTTCCAATTTTACGCTCTTAGGGGCGCATGTCATTAACATAAAACTACTTCTCGACTTCAGACACCAAAGACGCGGCTATTTCACCATCAACTTTGATCTTTTACTGAATAATGAGAGTTAATTTTCCTCTTTGTATTCATTTTGGTACCTTCTACGACAGTGAAAGTGCTTCCAAAGGATTGTTTATGTTTTCACATTAAACTTTGTTTAGAATCTACTTAATTTAGTACCTAACCATAAACATATGGTAGAGAATGGTCATTGAGTTTATTTCAGTATTCAAGAATGAATGAGTTTATCCGGCCATAGGTTCATCTGCTCACTTAGAGATCGTTTCCAACAACACCCTCAACGGTGACGCCAGCTTGAAATTTCAATAGTAATAAAGAAAGAACAGAAGGGCTTTTTCTTCTCCCAGCGTTAGCCTAGCTATTTGGGAGTACAAGTTCCAAGTTCCAAGTTCCAAGTTCCAAGTTCCAAGTTCCAAGTTCCAAGTTCCAAGTTCATAAAGTTTAGAAATTATTCGGTTTTCAGTAAACATTGGCTACTACCTGATTTTCATTTTTCTCATGGTTTTACCGATTTGTTATTACAATTTCAAGGCCAGTATAAGTTGTGCTACAAGAAGTTCAGACGGGGCGTGTTCAGTTTCAAAAAAGCGATATAATGAATTCAATGATCGAGTGATCAGTATTAACAACTTACAATCCTGCCACATCGAATCTCAGAAAGACTCAGAGAGATTCGTATGACACCAAAGACAAAGAAAACCTTGTCAACAATTTTCCACGGAACAGTTTTCGCTAATCGAAACGAAAAATTACTTGAGGAGTTTCTTTTCAGTGCGAAGATCGCTTTTCTTTCAAAAAGAAGCGCGAGGAGTAGTTGCATACGTTTATGAGGATAGCAATCGTTTACAAATCTAGTTCTGGGGCAAGAGAAGTTATCGCGAGATGATTATTAGCGAAAAGGCTTTGTAAAGATATAATCGGACACACCCTAAAGATGGCTAAGTCGCTTATATCCTAATGTACTTTTCCAATTTTTTACTTTGGCATTGCGTGCAGAATTTCTAGCGGGTATGAATGTCACGGTTCACTTCCGTAATTTGAAAAGCTCTATGGCCCTTCGCTCTATTTACAAAATCGTGCTTTTGTACCTGCTACACTTGGATGGATGGTCGATTTGGAAATCTTTTTTCGGCGTGGCTAAGGCCATTAATCTCTCTGATGCATTTGCTGTGATTGCTCCCCTGGAAATGGGCCACATCATATCTTGATTTCCCCATACGATTGGCCTGAAACAAAAATGATACCTATAGAATTCTCACCCATTTGGCTTCGTTGTCAAGAACGAACTGCCCTATCGATGAAAAGTTTGCTAAAAACCGAGCGGCTAAGAAATTCATTAATAATATTTAGATAAGTCTTTCAAATTAGAAGTAAATGAGGCAAGTAAGGCTTCCCGGGGTTAATAAGCTAGGGCTTTGGCCAAATTCAAAATGCGAGAGACATGTCACTGGTCTTTTTACTGTAATCACATCAAGTAAAACTTAAGTATAGGTGGAATCTAGTCTGCTGACCAGGAAATTTGTAACTCGCCAGTTAATTTTCTACGGGGTAGTTTTATGTTGTGTTGGATAACAACGATCTTCTCTAAACACATCACGTACAGTGGTTTGGTATTACCTACCAGAAACTTGTCATCCATACCGCTTTAGATTCCTTCGGCTTGGCAAGTTTCACCAAGCGGGTACTAGTTGAAATGAACATAACCAATAATCAGACGACGACAAACTTTAGGAGGACCTAAAGTAAGCAATGTATCAAACTTCCATCGAGCTAAAAACAACTTACATGCCAGTATCCCGTGTGGCTTCTGTAAAACTTGGAAGTGGATGATTCACTCGAACAACTAAGTGAAAAGAAAACATGTTATAATTATTTCGATTCAATGTTTGTCGTGTCTGCACAAGACAAACATTCGCACTCACAAGCCACTTCTGTCATATTGAAACCGGGCGATTACTTCAAACTTTCCAAAGTAATTACAATTACAACAAATTCGTCCCTCTATAAAAGCTGGAAAAGTAAGTGTGGCTGAGGTTCAAATACTCGCGCTTCTCGTGGGAATTCGATGCAGTTACTGTACCTCTTCGGTGTGGTGTTCAAAGTTTTAATGATTACATTCAACAAAGCGTCTGGTTATGTTCCTATGGAAACAATACCGCAAGTTGGTGATAATTAACGCTATCCTCTGGTACAGCGCTTTCTGGACTATGATTGGACAACTACGAGTCCAGTGAGGTTTCCGTATCAAAAGAAGTTTTTCTTTGTGTTTTCCAAAACCCAAACAAACAAACAAAGGGCAGTCTTACAGTTTGATCCCGGGCATTGCTATTTAAACATTTCTGCAAACATCCCTTTGTTTGGAAACTAAAGAAATCTTCTACATGCTAACTTAACCTAGTTAGATAAAATGAAATAATTATATGAAGTTCATATATTTTGAACTGCGGTATTAGATACATATGGTGAACGATCCTCGCAGTAGATAGCGCTATTTAAGCAATAGCGAAAATCAGACCTGAAAAAAATCAGGCCTGTACGGGATTCCAGCCACTGACCTCTGCGATACTAGTGCAGCGCTCTACCAATTGAGCTAACAAGCCAACTGGGAGCAGGCCGTTAAGTTGATTCGTAATAAACCCGTGATTTATTACGGGTTTATTACGAATTATCCCAGTCAGTGGTTGGAATCCCGTACAGGCCTGATTTTTTTCAGGTCTGATTTTCGCTATTGCTTAAATAGCGCTATCTACTGCGAGGATCGTTCACCATATTAACTTAGTTATACTGGAATGCTAATCGATAGTATTCATAATCACGAGAATGTAGGACAAATCATATTTGCACTGAAATGAAAATGACTGATGTCATATCTTTTCGACGGACGGCCACTTCTCTGACGTTGATAAGATTGCATAGGGTTGGTACAAGTCTCGACTTAATATATTTGGCGAACTGACTGGCGTCATGAGCGCAGGTTTTCGTCAGAAGCATGCAGATTTCCTTACTGTTATTTTGATCGCAAGTGACAACTGAATCTACCTCAGTAGATCATAGTTAGTAGACATAAAAATTACATGCCAGTATTACATGCCTTCCTCACCGTTCTTTGTATCGACTTGTGGGGGTTTATTTGTCTAAGACTGAACTAGTTCGATGTAAAGAATTTCTCTAAAGGGAGTAACTGTTGTCTGGTCTCTCTTAAAAGTAAGTATAAACAAAGAAAAAATACTTACTTCGGGGCAATTTAACGGGTTCCTTTTTCTTTACTTTTTCGCGTTCTGAAGAGAAAATTAAACAAAATTAGATAACTAGTTAACAGTAGAATCGTTTTGTTAATAACGCCACTGGTGTTAGAATAACACAAGGAAAATCAGAATTGAATAAAATAGAGACTTTGAGATGTATTCAAACAGGGCATGTAAAATGAATGAATTTATAACCGCCCGCGCGAACATTTGACATACCTTTTACTGGTTTAGCGCTAACAGTTCTTTCAGATGAAACCGACTGAGTTCGAAACGCTGGTAAATAAAGCCTTTCAGAGTTGGAAGAAGTTAGCACTTCTTCCTTTACAGGCGAGCTTCGTTTAGATTGTTGATCACTGGCTTTGGATGAAGGTTTCCTCTCAGGCTCTACTTGTCTTTGTTTTTTACAGTTCAAATCGTCTTTTTCTTCCTTTTCAGGGCTTGTGGCTTCTGGGCCTATAGCTGTGCTCTCTCCATCTGAATTATGAATCAACGTAGTAATTGCTTATTGTGAGAGTTTTGATTTCGGATGTGCTAACTTTTGATTTAAAGGTCACATCACTTTAAAGTTATATTGTTCACGAGTTCGTAGCGTGGTAACTTGGAGTCGTTAACGTCTTGTTCAGTGCAATTTTTTATTTTGGTCAGTACATTTGGCTATAACTGCATACAAAGGTTAACAAAGTTTCTTAACTTGAAATTTCTTTGTCAAGGCTATCATAAAAGTAACATATTGAACAGGAACTCGACCGTATTTATCTGTTCGACCATCTTGTATCACCTTGCCGGCACTCCATGAAACCCCAAACTATTCCCCACATTCGTCTGACGTGTATAGGAACTGTCTACAGTAAAGTGATGTCTGGACATGATTTATTACTTACTTTTCACGATAAGCCGAAAGTGTTCTATTTTGCATGACAAAAAGACGTTCTTCGATTTAGCCGCATTTGGTGTGAAGACCGAATTTACTCTCGTGAACTTTCAACAGGGTTGTTACTAAGTCTTTATACTTAGCACCTCCTTTTGGAGTAAACCTGCGGGTGGCTTGACATCTGCTTAAGCTTTTCATTCAACCCCACACCGCTGAATATGCCTTCCTCGTCACCTTAGCAACCAGATCTTGAGGTTTTAGTTGAAACTTAGGCAAAATGTTTATACGGTAGATGGGAAGGGATCAACCCACAGTTGCATATAAATGATAAAAGTTACGTGCACTAAGCCCTCCACAGTGAAGTGTTACTGAGTATCATGTTGTTGACCGAGTGTATCCTGCATTTGATCAACTCAGCGATATGTATACATCCTAGCTTTTTAACATTTGCCGAATAATGAGCGACAAAAATTTGACAGACGAAAAACTATGCTGCACATGCTTACCTTCCTGCTTTCCGACGTACGTTGTAACATTTTTGGAAAGCGCGCATTCTGGAAAGGTCTCCTTTTTTTGTTTTGTTTCGTTTTGTCTCTTTTGAGCGGGCAGAGTCATAAAGCAAGTTTGTTTCCGTCTTGTCAAAGGATAGAAATATAGCAAATTTGTTATATAGTTACTAAGCCTGTGAGCATTTGCCCTATTTCCAAATTCAGCGCTGGCAAATCTCGAAAGTGCTTTATATCAACTTACCTCCATATGTAACTAAAAGTCGTAACTTGATTCTGTACTTGATTATTTATTTCATTTGAGATTGCTTCGTTAAACGACATCAAAAATAATCGAACGTTAACCTACCATTTTCGACATCCTCGACTTTAATCTGGTGTTTCGAATCGTTCTCTTGTAGATCCATAGCAAAATAATTTTCCCCTCATAAAAATGTTTCAAGAATTGTAAGCTTAACACTTACACAAACGGAGACTCTTTGAATTGTTGGGTACCTAGAGACCATTATATGCGCGATTGACTCAACTAAGCAGTAAATATTTTATGAGCTATAGTTGCTTATTGCTCGCCTATTGGTAAATTCAGTGCTGAACATTAGAAGCACTTTAAAGCACTGTAACAGATGTCTTTGCCTTCGATTTACTTTTTTTAAAATTAGCTTCAATTGAAAACGCTTACTTCGCCTGTATCTTTTGGTTGAAGGTAACAAGGGTTTTTAACGTAATCCTCTAGATTAGAAGAAAGTCGAGATTTAAAGTTGCCACATAAGTAAAAATTTCACATCAGTATTTAAACGTTTTAATGGTTGGTTTTGTTCTTCCACCTGAATTAAGTCTTTAAAAGACAAAAACATTTCAATTTGCCGAATTGAATCTCATTTTCATTCCCGCGTTGCAATGAATCTCACATTTGATCAGAAACTAATCATTCTTCAAATTGCCTAGTAGAAAAATTCAGCGCCAGAGTCACTTTAATAAAGATATCTTTAAGGAAGGCTTCGTGTTAAAATGTTACGTCTGTCATACAGTTCCCAGCTCAGTTTACTAACGCATTTTAGCTTTCGTCGCAGTTTTTTTGATAAAGATTTTTTGAACACCACATCTTGAACACCGCTTGTCCATTCTGCGAAGAGTACTTAAAAGTAAAGTTGGAGAATTCAGACTTAAGATATGTGAATTAGCCGTCATTATCGAAAAAGTAAGTCATACCTACCGGTGCTTGAGAGACTTGATCTGGAGCTGGCGCGCACGGACTTAATGCTCGAGGCTGCTAAGCTTAGATAACTACTGTACTCTGTTATGACAGACCGCAAACTCGGAGTTCGCTTAAGGATTAAGCTGATAGGTGTCTCACACGTTGGTAGGGACGCTCGTGTTGACATTTGATCGCTACCACTCTGATAACTGACGTATGTCCTGAGTGGCTGAAGCCTATTTTGTTTTACGGTAGAGCTCGCCTTACTGATTGTACCAGTGGAAGATCTACTGCTCTGCCCTGCTCTGCTTGATTTCATGGATGACATGGACAATGCACTCGACAAAGAAGACCCTCTGTTCGTTGCAGACTTTTTTCGTTTCCGTGCATTCCAAAAGTCACTTGAAGCCGAACTAAGAGAGCTTTTTATCCTCGGTTTTTTGGGGAATTCCTTACGTTTCCGACGTCGCTTTTTCCGATTTGTAAAATCGATTTCATCATTAATATTTCTTCTCAACTTTTTAACAGTTTCTTTTTTGTTGTACAAGGGGCGGGCAGCTGATCTATTTTTTCCTCTTTCCATGTCAAAAAGGGACATGATAGCTTCCTTGTTGAGGTCTGGGACAGATTTTACGCGGGCCGCTTTTGGATTTTTCATAATTGATCGGGTGCTCATTTGAGACACCATCTGGCTGCGACTTACAGATCGCGCTCTTGAAAGATCAGGATCCAGTGTGAGCGTCACATGACGCTTACCATATCTGCGCATATCGGGAACAGAATTACTTGAAATGTTTCTACCGATAAGAGGTAAATGAGGCGTTTTAGAGCGGAAGTAGGTTTCTTGTCTAAAGGTCTTTGCTCGCCTTCCTGTGGTTGTGGTATTTACTGTCGAATGTTTGTTATGCCCACGAACGACTTCAGGTCCTTCACTTATGCTGTACCCTGCTGCACTAAAATGACTCCATCGTGACCAGTTTCTTGTAGTCACGTAAGTACCGTCGCTGTGCACGCTTGTCGTACCTTTATCACGCATTCCTGTCGCAGCCGAGGGTGACCGCTGTTCGGGCCCGAAAGATAACTCTGACTCATTTTCATAATCCTGATGATTTTGGCCACGATCTTTCTCTTTCTTTGCTGCCATTTTCTTCATGCGATATTGATTGCTGTTCAAAACGTATGATGGCGCCAAACTTACATTTGAGTGTGCACTTCCTTTTCTTACCGTTTTCGTTGTTTTAATCGTTATTATGGACTCAGGAGTGCTTTTTGCTGAAGCAATAGTACGAATGCTGCTGATGCTCGCATTTAAACTACTCGTATAGTGTGTTTGGACAGTTGTGGGAGTTCCAACTCCTCGTGTTGGAGTTTCTGTGTCTTCGTCTTCGTCCTCGCTACTTTCTTCATCACTTTCATCGCTCTCATCATCGCTATCATCGCTTTCATCACTTTCTTCTTCAGTTTCGTCGTCATCGTCATCCTCATCGCTGTCTTCATCTTCTTCCTCCTCCTGCTCATCAGCAGAGTTCAGTTCTTTTTTATCTTTTTCGCTGTCACTGCTGTAGTTGATAAGTACATTTCCTTCCTCGTAATCAATTTTCGAAACATGTGGTGTAGCGGCAGAGCTCTCGTTTCGACTCTGCCCTTCAGGATTTCTTCGGAACGCCTCTCTCTCTGGGCGATCTAAGGAGTAAGAATTATTATTTCTAGGTGCTGTTACTTTTTTGGTATCCACGTCCTTGAAGTGGTCACTGAGACTTTCTTTAAAGGCACTCGATTGTGAGCCGCACGACTGAACTCCAGAGCTTCTTCCATCCCCCTCAGTTCTCTCTGGATTTATGTTTCTCTGTAAGGACTTCCTTTTCCTCTTTTCATTTTGGAGCTCCCTTTCAAACTTTCGCAAGTTTTGACTCGTAAGCGAGAAAGTATTCACCGTCGTCATTTCGAAGGGTTTTCTTCCCGTGTGGCTTCGTGATCTACTATGGTACAATCTTCTTGAGCACTGACTTTTACCATTTGAGATCACCTGTCGATTTAAAACGTAAAGTAGAAGATCAATTCAAGGGTAAAATGAATCGGAAAAAATAATTTGTTCAAGATCAAAGTTTCATTTACCAGACTTTCCCAAAGAGCGGACACTGTTTCGAATATGTAAAAACGAGTTCGCCTATAATAATCAAAGCTTACATCAGAAATCCATCGCAGTCATTCTAGTCGCATTGTGTAGAATGTGACTATAGCGGCCCCGAGTAATGTTCGTAAATGTTAAAGTTTTGTTGTTGCAACGTCGACATTCTGCTGCCTTTGCTTGCTTGTCGAAGTTTGACATGGAGAAAAGTGCCAACCAATTCGTCAGGGAATAATTTCTTAAATAATGAGCTAAACAGCCAAAGTTTGAAATGAGGAATATGGAAACTAAATTATCTTATGTGGATAGCATTTTTTGAAAGTTTGAACCTGTGTTTGCGCTGATAGACATCTGCTTCGTTGATATTCTTTTCTAAGTGGAAGCGGTTGAAATGACTTATGCAAATTGAAAGCCACGCTGTGTTTATTAGACTGTTTACATTGTCCAAAGTACAAGAAAGTGACATGTTTTGGGAAATGCCACTTAGTGAAAAAGTTCAGTTGCTATTAGTATAAGTAATTATTTCAATCAGAATAATACAACAAATAATAAGAATTGAAATTGTCGTTAGGGATGCATATGGAAGTACCATACTTGCTGAGTAATCTAGGGGAAGTCACGAATTGAGTGTCAAAGAGTATGAAATAAGGTCTTCAGCAACACTGAAGAAACTTAGTTTCAGTCCCCTATTAAGATCACAAGCACTTGCAATTCAAAAAGACAGTAATTCATCTCGTTTTTCTTTTTTTTCTTTCTTCGTTCTTTTAATAACCTTTTCTTTCTTTAACATCACTTACAGAGGTTGGTATTTGATTTAAATGATGCAGTCACATTTGTGAAAGCTGAGAGAAAGCCATGGCCTTCCGTCGGTAAGATTAACACTGATTATTCAAAGTACGATATTAAAGATCCAAGCCCACATACTCTGGTTATTAAAAGTCACACGCAAACAACGCAACAAATTTGCGATCTCTGCGCGCCAACAGAGACGTTCTGAAAGTGTAAAATCATATCAGAGCTTTACGCCACATCCAACTCAACATGTTTTGAACGTTGATTTCCCCTATCTACTTGCTATCAAGTATTATTACCAGTTCAAACCCGCCTCAACATCAACTGACCATTCGGAAACCTTTTTACATTTCTAATAAGGTTTTGGAAATTTTTGTGCGTGTAAATTTGCTTCTACGAACTGATTCTGGTTAGTCTTAGCATTAGGATTAGTATACCTTCCTTCATTTGGCCCTATTCAATTTTTTTCTCATGGGGGCACAGAGAATTTATTATTTAAAAAAATTCTCTTAATTAATCATAAAATACAGATCTTCACTTGCATGTTAATTGATAATGCTTATTGGTGTGCAAAAGAAGTTTGTCGTTTTTTGGTGTCGTAGTCGTACTACAACAGTTACCCATAAACAAAACTCTGAAGCATGAGTCTAGCTGTTTCTTTACCAGTCAATCTGCCTACTTTTCTATTTTGTGAGAATTCCAGCAGAAAAATCATGTGAATCCATGTTTTGTTTCTTGAAGCTATCCTTGACCTGGTTAAATGTTTTAGAAATCTATAAGTTACTGAGACTGACCATGCCCATGAATAGATCAGAGACTACTGGAAATCTCGAAAATTGTATTTTGTTTTATGCCATAAATTGAACGTACGAAAACAGCCGAGGGCAAGCTGGCGAGTAGTATATGTAAACTGTATAATATTCCATTCAAAAGTTTTTTCCCTCAAGTTTACAAATCTAAGAAACTAGCCACGTAAACCTCGTCGCTACCTAGTCAAGTTCTAAAACAAAGGAAAGATTGAATTGGCACGGTGTCACCAGTGTGTGTTTTGCCTCGGATTAAATAGACGCGCAAATTCTTTAGGGGGCATCTGTCACTCGCTCCAAATACATTTACAAGCGAAAACAAACCAAATAAGACCCTTACCCTTTGGTGCACTTCATCGCAGAAATGTTCAGCTTGCTTAACTTTGAATATCAAACGGTTGACTCTTTGCAGGTCGCTACAATATCATCCCAATCAGGCTGGTAACCATGGTGCAAGTTAAACTATGATAGTTGCTTTGACAATTGATTCATTAGTGCTATGAAGTAGGCAGATATGCAAATATCACACCATTTGATAGACGCACCTGTTAAACTGATTGGTCATAGTAGAGATTTGGCAGATGTACACAGAGAAGACCCAAACTTGGAAGGTAACATGATAAAATTTCAAGTATGACGAACGCGAAGGTGCGGGTTGACCGCATAACAGGTTTTTCTTGACATACTGGTTAAAAGCGGCGTTCCAGTCAGTTAATTTTTAGTGCCCTTCACTTTATAAAAACTCCTCACAGGCTTTTAAGGGTTTATCAACAAAAAGTTTCGGAACCATTCGTTGTCTACGTTAAGGGAGGAGCTGGGAGCAACGAGTAGAGTTAAGGGTTTTTTCAGAAGTAAAAGGGCTGGCCTTCTTTCCTCCTTGACAAAGAAGGTGGATGTCACCATTAGGTTTAGTGGACAGTTTAAGTGACAGGAATCATTTGCTAATTTTGAAAGTGAGAGTGAAAGCAACATAATTAGTGGTGATGGTTGAGTGGATGAACGGGTCACTAGTAAGCCATAAAAAATGAGCCTTAAAAATACTATATGTACCCCTAAAGATGAAAAGAAAAATTTCAAAATGCTTACTAGAAGTCATTTTTTTTTGTGTTTGGCTCTATTTGATATAGTAATTATTTGTCAAAGGTTTTTGACATTGACAAAAATTAGAAGTCTATCGTAGAATAAATTTTTGCGGTAGTGGCCGTAACTATAAAGAGATGGATACTTTTAACTAAATTGTTTCTCGGAAGAGCATATATTTATATTTTTGAAAGGATGGGCTCAAGAATTTCGAATATTGTATCATAAAGTGATACATTTTTGGAACTCTATTCACCCGAATGTCACCAAGACAGCTACTAATTCAAGATCTAAATAGAGCGTGGAAGCAAGATCATTAAGAATTTCTAATCTTGTATCACAAAATTGATGTATGTAAAGAATTCAATTCACACGAATACGTAACCCTACATGAGTTATATTGAGAATTTTTATAATTGTTTGTGCTATATTTAGCTAAGTAATTAGTTTGATAAGGGATTTTTTTTAATTTCCAAGTCATTTTGGTGATTTTTGTGTTTTGTGTTTCCAAACGAGACTTAACTCATTAAGAATTAATGAGTTGCAAGTAATCACTAATTTGCATTTTCTTATGCTATTCAATTACTCATTTTCACTTTTACGCCAGTGAGTTTTAATGTTAGTGAAAGTGTCGAAGATTTCAATTTTCAGTTCTAAAAGTATAAATATATGGTTATAGTATGGAAGAACTATTTGAGCAACTTTGTACGCAAGATAAAATAAATATTGCGAATAAATAAATGATGAAATGACGAAGGAACACATATTTGTCGTCAGAACGATAAAGTTTCCTCGAATATTGGCTAAGTGCGACGGGCTCTTAACCGGTTCAGCTTAAATAGACCAAGGTCTGAAAATTATTTTCGCACCATTTGCACAGCGGAAAAAAAAGCAGACCAGCGCAAAAAAGAAATGATTTACACACTGGTCTAGGTCGGTTTGTATGGGGTAAAAACTGTGCCCTTGGTCTTCGAAATATTTCTGCGACAGGAGAGAAGTAAGGGACTAGGCCTGTTCAGTGCATCATAGGACATGATGACAGCTCTATTAGAGAGGTTTTTCACGTGGGAGAGAATCTTAAACCTTCTCCTAAAAAACTAAGCAAGTTTTTTCTACTATAGTTCAAGTAGTAGTTCAATCTTTCGTTTCGATTCTGTTTCTGCGTTAGCAGCGTGGCCCTCGTAGGATGGGCATTCAGAGCCTAAGCCATGTTTCCTACCCGGATTTCCTGCCTAATTTTTCCTCATCGGACTTTTTTCCCGGCAGGTTTTTTCTGACCTCCTTTCTGGCAGTAGTGTAGTTTTTTTCTGTAAACTGCCACTTAGCTCTGTAATTTTTAGGTATCATAGTGTAATCACTTCTGATCATACGTCGCTCGGCCAAAACTGCCAAAATAAACCCACTGGTTTTCTGTTTACGTTATGCACTGCGTAGTGGAGATGAAATATAGAGATTATTCCCTGGAAAGAATGCACGAGCGATTTTTATTCACGAGTTGATACATCAATAAAAAAAAAACTTTACACAGTTAAAGGCAACGATATTTATAATCGTGCAGAACATGATTTGATCTAGGTTTGCTATCGCTAACTGAACTAGGATCTTGGCGCTCGTGAGAGGTTTCAAGTTCTTAGTCGATGGAAATCGAGGCCATCCTCTAAATTGGGATATATCAACAAAGTTGAAATGGTAAATTGGCCACCGTAACGATTACTAAAGCTGACGTTTCGAGCGTTAGCCCTTCGTCGCTTCGACAAAGGGCTAACGCTCAAAACGTCAGCTTTTGTAATCGTTACGGTGGCCAATTTACCATTTCAACTTTGTTGATATATCCAAATTATTTCTAACATTGTTACAAAGGAACTTAAAACAGATATTGTCCACTTGGAAATGCAATTTTTGTCTTGCACATCTAACATGGACCTCCATCAAATCAAACACATTATGCAAAAGCACAGACAAAAATATAATTATGACAATTTGGAACGTGCTCCAAAAAAGAAAAGACTGCAACAGATAAGTTCTAAAAACAAAAGCAAGTTCAAAGTTAGACAACAGCATGAGAGTGAGACAACCCCAACTTTTGATGTCTGCATTGTAGAATTCAAAGAGAAAATCAGAGGTCCTTATTAGTTACGTTGTGTATACAATGTTTTCACAATGAAATATACTTCCCTGCATTCAGTTCAGTACGATTACGAAGGGGTGCTCCTTAAATAAAAAGGACGGGGGTGCGCGTCATACCCTATATGGGTTAAAAAAGGCGGATTTGGTACCTCTTTGGCTGTTCAACCTCGAAAGGTCCACAGCAGCAGCTTCTGTGATACCTTTTAGGGTATTGTGCCAAAGATATGTGACTGTGATGTTGTAGAATTGGTGTCTCGGGGGTGAAAAAAAATTTACGACATGCCCACAAACCAGGACCTTGGTACCTCTTAGTATTTCTTTTTAGAACCACTGCGCACCGTGAATGATCAACACTCGTAAAAGCACGTCTACCTGTAGCCCGACTTACGATCTTAGATCGTCTTGTATTAAATTAATTTGATTGCCTCCTCTTAGTTGTCTTGTTTAAAACGATATTCTTCCGCGGTTTAGCCCTCTTTGCCATCTTCTGGATTTGCTACCACTTTTCCCTACTTTCGAAAGGACACGGATATTTTTCTTTGTGCACTTGCAAGAGAGTTTGTTCATGTCTTGATTGATCGATAGATCGACTTTCCAAACGTCAACAAATTAGTGGCCTTAAGGAATCTATATGGACATCTGAGTCTGTCCATAGGTCAGCGAAATCGCTTTCTCGATAAGCACTCCTTTTGGAGCATGTTTTGATCTTAAATGTTTAGTTATAGAAATGATATTGGTGAACAGATGTCCTTCCTTAAATACTGCGATCTTACCCTTATTTCGATTTTGTAAAAAACGCATTTGAGAATGCAATAGCTTCTAATCTGTTCTCTTTCAAACAAGAGTAGAGGCAGGCTTGAATCTTGCGATCTGGTGTTCATTGACGAAGACAAAACTAAACTGTTTCGAGCTGAGCGCTATCAGCCAGAGAAAAGAAACCTACGACCTATTGAAGTATATCACTTATATCTAATGAATGTAAACGTTCAAGGATTTTAAATATCTACATAAACGTACATGTAGTAACCCATTGCGGTAACGTCCAGGTATGATTTCAAAACTTAACACAATTAGAGGGGCACGAAGACTATTTGATAATACCCAGAGAACTCTTTTCCTCTTAACTCTTAAGTCTTTCTGTTTTAATTCGTTGCAGATCGAAACCATCCTTTAGATTTGTTATCATCTTTTACTTGACACTAGCAATTTGGTCGTGTTTGTTTACTGCACATGGATATGCTATTCTTTCAAGGTAAGAAAAAGAGATTTCGTCATTTTGAGATTGATCAAACGATCGAACAAACAAAAACGAAGGGCACAAATTTCCCCTTCCTGTTTTCGTTGAAAGTGACAAGCCTGAACTTTTTTCAGCTGGAAAAAGTAACAAACACAAGAATATTACAACCCGGCTGTTACCGGAACCCGGTGACAATCAGAAATGGGAATATAGGAACAGCGAAAAACGCATCGTAAACTGTAAGTGTACAACACACTAACGTAACGATCGGGAAACAGAAAACTAAAAGGATGGGAGACAATGACGTCACAATCGGGCAACAACGGCTTTAAAAAAAGTAATAACGTAACAATTCGGCAACAAGGAAAACTAAAAAGTGTGCAAGATACTAACGTTACAATTGGACGCCAGAGAAAACTAAAATATTCACGAGCTAATAACGTAGCAGTCGGATCAAAAGGAAAACCAAAAATGCTCAGCATATTAAAAGGAAATCTTAAAGGTGTGCGAGATGTTAACGTAACGATCGGACACTGAGGAAAACTGAAAGTGCAGGAGATATCAACATAACAATCGGGCAGCAAGGAAAACAAAAAGTGCACGCAATAAACGGAAAGAAAGGAAAGCAGCACTAATTGGAAGGTGGTAGGCCTTTTAAACACGAAGACACGGAAACATTGAGAAATAAATCTTTACTTTAAAAGTTTTGCAATCATTTTCCGGATAGGAAAACTATTTTATCGGAAATAGGGGCAAAGGGGAAAAGATTAGAAAATAGATTTTAACCTGCTCATTCACATTCTTACACCAAAACCAACTATCAAAATTTTAAATTCTGAGTGTTTTTTTGTGAATCGAGGGAAATGTCTTCCTCTACTCCATATATTTTAGAATGAGCTTTCACTACTTGACAACTCCATCAATAAGAACTCTTACAGAATTTTTTATTGACGAATTTGATTTTTTCCTTATCTGTCATCTGATTCAGTATCTAAGTACCAAAGTTTATTACATAAGAACGAATCACAAGCTTGACTTGCTAGAAGGGCCAGGCAAACCCCAACACCTCAGACGACTAATACCTCCGTCTGGATAAATAGTAAGCCGTACATGGGAAACCACACCACAGTCTTCAAGCTTGGAGAAGAAGTGACACTTGTGTGGAGACAACTGAAAAATAGGTCACGTATCATCCAGTAAATAATAAAAACAAGTTCACTATAAATCTTCAAAAGTCAACCCCTTCAGAAATAATAAAATAGTGCACCGTCCGAAGAGGCCTAGGGTTCAAGGGCACTCCTAAGAATTCCACGAGCTGAGGTGGACTTCACGATAAGGAAAACTGCCAATGACACAAAAACTCTCTTTACACATGTGTGACAAGCAAGTAGGTAACCGGTCAAGTCGCCCGAAAGTAATCTCGCCCGAAGCCATCTCGCCCGGAACCAAAGTCATGTTGCCCGAACTTTTATTGAGTGTTTAAACCTGAAGAAAAGTCACATATTAAGTAAATCGTAGCGATTAAACTCGTAAAATGTTGACTCGTAAACTGTTTTGGTCCGCTAACCTACAAGAGACTCGAATACCGCTGTTCATTTCAGCGTTGTTCGTTGCTGTTACTGACTGTCAGTAAACTTTTCAGTAAAGAAAAGTAATATCTTAAGTAAATGGCAAGGAATAACCTCGTAAAATGTTGACTCGTAAACTGTTTTCGTCCACTAACCTATGCAAATAAGGAGTTAAAGAAAGACTCAATCGCTGTTCAGTTCAGTGTTGTTCGTTGCTATGAACTAAACTGATTATTCTACAGCACAGATTCTAATAATTATAAGCGGAACACATCAGTTATCAGAATTGTTCACACATATCAGAAAAATATATCAAGTTCTCTTAGTTCGATTTCTCGTACAAAAAAAACAACCTGAAACTTCAACAGCGGTTTTTTGTTCACGGTCGTTCCTTGTTTCCTCAGCCGGTCGAATGTAAATTTTGATCCGGTTTACCATATATAAAGAGAGTAAACTAATAACAGCCACCTCATTCCGACTTGTAAAATGTTTCCATCATAGTTAGTTATAGAGGCCATGAACTAAACTGATCATTCTACAGCACAGATTCTTGTAATTATAAGCGGAACACTTTCAATTATCAGAATTTTTCACACATATCAGAAAAATACATCAAGTTCTCTTAGTTTGAATGTACCGCAACGTCACAATCTTGCTTGGGAACCATGTGATGATTCTTGAGCAAGTGCTGTATTCAAGATGGCGGTGTTTTCCAATGTTCCAATCGTAGCGATGTGAACCTTCGTTCGAAACAGAATGCTTCCACATTTAAAACAACAGTGAGAACCATACTGTAACTGATACTACTTTTTTTTTTTTTTCCTTTTCGTGTTTTATTTTTAGGATTACTATCTCCATAATATCAAACGACAGCGAAACGAACAACCTGAGTTTCACGGGTCAACATTTTACGAGTTTATTCCTGGCCATTTACTTAAGATGTTACTTTTCTTCAAGCTTAAACACTCGATAAAATTTCGGGCGACATGACTTAGGATTTTGGGCGACATGACTATGAATTTCGGGCAACACGACTCTGGTTTCGGGCGACATGACTTCGGGCGAGATGACTTTCGGGCGACTTGACCGTAAACCAAGCAAGTAATACCGCAAGAGCCGCCAAACTTCATTAAAGACAAGAGGAAATTAGCAGGTTTGCAAAGTGAAGGAGCCGATACCGAGCGTTGTTTAAAGAGACACAATAGGGAGCTATCTTGCAGCGGTTCTTTGTGTCAATTCAACTGCTTGAGGTAAGGTAAAGATACATCAAAAGTGTCCATGGAAAGATCCCGTAAAACTGCATCAGCATCCTTAAAATGCATCTGCCTCATTCTCAATGGAGGAAAGGCTGGTAATTGCAGGAAACTCTCTCTCTTCGTTTCGTCCACAATATCGGGAATTTATTGGGTGTAGCCCTTCGTAAGACGTCCCTCATAGAAGAGGGAAAGCCGTCTGTGCGACTGTTTTGTTTCACACCATGTAAAATTAGAAAAACAAGAGGGCTGTTGTATAGCATAACTTAAAAACAAACTTGAGCACCTTAGAAGTGGGTAAAATTGTCCTCCATTTTAGCAAACACCAGTCATCAGTGGAAGCATCTAATCTCTTTAGGTATGGCACCAAGACTCCTAGCAATAATAATAATAATAATAATAATATATTGTGATCAGTCCTCTATCGTGAACATTAATATTAATTCTTTTAAAAATTTGTAAATAATTAGATATATGGTTTAAAATTGTAAATAATTGCTGTAATTATTAATGTCAGTGTCAGATGTATTGGCATAATAATAATAATAATAATAATAATAATAATAATAATAATAACAAAAATGTTAATAATAATTGTCGAGC